CCATTCAAGGCTGATGCAAGTCCTCATAACTGTCAAAATAAAAATCTGAAAAAGTTGAATGAAACTTATCAATTTCAAATTTTAAAGTCTACATTTAATAAACTTGAGAGACTTACATTAAGAATACTCCTGTTTTTTATCTTTTTTTCACAAAATTTGACTTGATAAATATCACATACTATCTTTAAAAAAATGCCTTAGTTATGATTTGGTTATAGTGTCATTTTGTTAGATGACAACCAAAAGCAGGTACTTAGTGGTTTTGATACAAATAATATCTTGACCAAAACCTTCTCTGAGACAGGAGAAAACAGCTTCATTAAGCCATAAAATGAAAATTTACTATTTAGATTCTGGTCACAAATGAGTCTCAAAAATGATATGGCAACATGTTTTGTTTTTTGTGTAAAGATCTTTACATAATTGTAATAGTGTTTTGTGTCTTAAAAAGGAAACTGTAATAACACTTGCTGCATCTCATAAGGTATCCCTTGAATAATAAATCCTTATTTCTGTATCCAATTACATATACCTATGTGCTTGAATTAATTTTTGGATTTTATAGTGTTTTTAGGCAAAGTTTATTAATGACAGGATTCCATAATTGGCGTGAGTAGAGACTGCTATGAGAGGATTCTATAATTCAAGGAAGGAGAGTTAAGCTTTAAGGTTTTAATCTTTATTAACAGGATCCTGAATTAAGGCCAACATTGACCAAATTATGGTAAAAAGTCCTAACATCAAACTTTAAATAAAAGATGCTTTAAATATCTCTTATTCAATTCAGATAGTTAATAGAAAATCAAGAAATAAAATTAAATTGTGGAAAATATTTTTCATTAAAGTCTCTGTTATAGTTTTTTAATAAATACTTCAAGAAAAAACATAATTTGAGAAATCTGTATACCACTGTTAAAACTATTTAACAATGTTTTATTTTCTACTACCATCTTTTTTTCCCATATTTAGGAATGAATTTATGATTGATTATAAAATCTAAAGAAAGAAAACTGATGTAGGGCTCCAGAAGTGATATGTACATTAATATTCCTCATTGTGACACACTGTCAAAAAAGTGACATGTGAAGAAACCAGAATCCAACATTTTCTTTTTACGGCTTTATAATAAAAACAAGTTAATTATTCATGAACAGCATTAAGAGTCATAAAAGGACCTCTAACACAACCAAAGCAAATAATTTGTAATAGTGTTTTGTGTCTAAAGAGAAAACTATAACACTTACTACATCTCATGAAGCATCCCTTGAATAATTAATCATTATTAAATTAGTATCAAATTACATATACATGTGTACTTGAATTAATGTTTTCATTTTATAGTTTTTTTTTGCAAAGTTTATTATGCTTTAAGGTTATCTTTATTAACAGAGTCCTGAGTTTGATGAGGATTACTTGGCCGTGTGTCTTGTTTTTTTTTAATAATTTATTTATGATCATATGCAGTAGTGGTTGGCTACATAATAACTGCATACTCAAAGTCTGAATTTCTATTTTGTTTCTTGTTCCTTTGTAAGTAGTGCTTGCTGACTAGACAGTGTGATTAATGATCCATCAAAAGTCTAATGAAGTCTAAAAGTGTTTGTTGATGTTATTTCATAAAAATTGCTGTTGATGGTGAAATTGCATTAATTATATGTAACTTCCCCTTAAATGTTATTCTTTTAAATTGTTTTTGACTTTAGGTAAGGATTGTGTAATTTTGAATTTTGCTATATACTATAAATGTTTTATATTTTTGCTGCATAATTGGCAATTTTATTATGCATAATTTCAGTCTGTTGGTTGTTTTTCTATAAACCTTAGGGCCCTATATTAGCAGCTTAAAATGTTAATGTGAGAGCACTTGCACTACTTCATTTAAAAATTTATTGGAATAATGTTTTCACATAAAGAGCTTTCTCCTCTCATAAAACATTGTCTGTGATCATACTATCAAAGTGTGTTATGATAATTTAATCTAGGAATAATGCTGGGTGCCACACAGTATACCAGAACTTTAGGTCACTATTATATTGGAATTATTAATGTATATCATAGCATTCACCATATCGAAGCTAATGACACAGATACTGCCACATGCTTTTATTTTATTCCAGAATAACACACATACATATTAACAAAAGCTATTATAGTGGTTTGAATTTATGTAATCATGACTCAAGGTTTAAATTAGATCAGATCTAGAATTGTTATAGATTGTTGTCTATGGAAAAGGTATTGTCAGTAAAGTGATTTTTTTTCCAAACAATATCTTATCTCTTCTCACAAAATAGCTTTTCTTGATTAGTACTGCCCTCTATCGATACAGATTTTCAACTCTTGCCACTAGCCTTCCACCTCCTGCTTCTGCATATCCACATGTAAATGATTATGCAGCAGCTCTCCACCAATAGGAGCGTGACACAAACCCCTGTCGTAACCAGCACCCTATCCACATTTGCACTTGTTAATCACTTCTCGCTTGGCAGTAGTACTGTACAGATGTACTTGTTTTTGCTCGCAAATTTGTCAACATTTTCCCTTATACTACAGACTTAGTTTT